CAGTATTCCTATGAGATAGCCAAAGTTTCCAAACAGGAGGGACAGTAAATACAAATAAAACACTGTATGATAAGAGCTAAATGGTTTTTCCCTTCTGAAGAGCACTCACCCTCTCTCCCAGAACGCCCTTTAGAATCGGTCTGAATACGAACCCTCCACCATACAATTGCGGCTCCTGTTAGAGAGCCCCGATGGTGTCTCAACTTGGAGCACGGTCGTGCATTGACCTTCAAAGTGCGAGATGTATTTTCACTCATTGACAATTGGCCTCCTTACTGTTTATGAAAGAAAATAGATTAAACGCTAGTGGCTAAGTTCATGCTACGTGTGAAACATTTGCAACAAAGTTACTCACAAATTATCAATTTGTAATTAATTTTAGGCCTCCAGCTCCGCCTCCAGTAAAAACCGATCACAGCTGCCCGTCAACAGTTTCAGCGTTCTGTACAGGTAGAGTAATTGATTCGACGGAGCAGCAGTTTCTTAGTTCCGGCTTAGTTCCCCTTGGCGCTAGGGGCCAAGGACTTTGACACGCTCCACCTGTTGCGACACGCTCCGCCCACCGCTCGATATCTTGTCTGCGTCGCTGATCTGCTATGCTCTCTCTTCTCGGACTTCTCTACCGCTCTCCGCGCTCACATTATCTCTCATCCCCCTTTTGAACTTCTCCGCAGCGTAGAGCAAAAGGCTCGTATTTCCTGTGTATTCACGATTTTTTTCCTTTTTTCTCCACTGGCGGTCCACCTCCCACCCCTACATCACATTTGAGTAGAATTACCTCATCAATTTAAGCTTGAATCTTGCCTTTAAGCGCAATAATGCCTCTTTACATGTAGACATATCCAGAATCTAGCGCCAGATGATCTTTATAATCTACAGATATCTAATAACACCTATCTATAGATCATCAAGATGGATAGTGCATAAGGAATGGTGTAGTAGAAAATGCCACCATTTATGAATCATGAGCATGGCCCAGGTGTCTAACCCCGGCTCCAAATTTGTCCGAGGCAGGTCGGCCTTTTAACCCTCTGGTGCTGATTGCTTGGTGCACAGCTGTCGGTAGAGTTTGAAAGGCTGGAATGTCCCGCTGACTTCCACAAGCATTTGCATGGATCAGTTCTTTTGGAATCGCTACGAGTCTTAATGAGAGACTACCGTGATCAAGATTATTGGATCCTTTTATCGATTAGCAACCTTCGAACCTTTAAACCTTTAGTATATTATGTGCCTTACAGTGCGGAACCTGTCCTACCTTTTCTCTGACGAATATGTGTACACAATACGGAACGACACGATCCAGGATGCCAGCCCTATAAGCCTCAAGTTCCCCGATGGGCCTGGCTCTGTCAACGCAGCCGTTTATGACAAGGAGAAGCGGCTAGTTGTGCTTATTGAAAATCGAACAGTGAGTGCCGTTGAAAGCCTAATTGTGTGGTCATTATGCTTTGCTTCTGATGCTGTCAAACAACTAACTTCCATCGCTTGAAGGTTTATGCTTACCACCCGCTCGGAAAAATAAGGGTCGAAACTGGCAAGTTCAAACTCGATTCAACATACCCAAAGGTGAGTTTCTCGAATAGGGAAACAATTTTTGCAGAAATAAAGATGCTTACAGGAACTGCCGGACAACATCCCGTTCACACCAATTGGAGCGATGAGATGGCATGACAAACGTCAAGTATTGTTATCGGTAAGCATGCGTTTGTTCTACGAGATGTCCGCCCTATTAAGACGGTAGCTTATTGGTGAGATGTTTACCCGCAACCGGCCCTGAAACCTTTGGTGGATTTATAATACTGGACGAGAGATCGAGAAATAAAGTAAACCTGCGCAATGGTAATGCTGGACCAAGGGGTGCTGACTCGATTGAGGAGGGGAGGAACTACGCGGCGGCGAGGCGCTTTGTCCGTCTTCCTATTCAAGGCTTAATCCGCGGTGCCACTGTGCTTCGAAATAACCACGTTGCGGCGAAATAAGGCCCCCATGACTGAGCCTTAGAGCTGCAGACGAAAAGAGCGTCGCACTGCTGCGTGGTCCCCCTCCCAACTAAGTTAGCACCGACAATGGTCTTTTCTCTACCATTTCCGGTGCTAACTTAGTCAAAAGGGGGACCACGCAGCAGTGCGACGCTCTTTTCGTCTGCAGCTCTAAGGCTCAGTCGTGGGGGGCCTTATTTCGCCGCAACGTCGTTATTTCGAAGCACAATGGCACCGCGGATTAAGCCTTGAATAGGAAGACGGACAAAGCGCCTCGCCGCCGCGTATTTCCTCCCCTCCTCAATCGAGTCAGCACCT